ATGATGGTAGGGTAAAAAGGCGAATGATTGTCATGACTGAGTATCTGGTTGGAGCAAGAGAATCATAGTGTAAGATTAAATGGTTGGTTTTTATTATGACAGAAGGCTAACAACAGAGTGCTGCCAGGTCCTATACAGTGTTCTTTGATGTATTAACTCAGACCTGTGAGAGAGGGAGAAATAGGGACAGGGAAAAAATAGTGAGATACCAGAGTCTGCAGCTATCAAAAATATGTTTGGGAAAAGGGAGATTTGTGAGTAAGTTCAGTGTCACTTCTGTTACATAAATGAATGATTGAATGACAAAAGAAATTCAGCACTAAGAAGAGTATGAAACCGTGCACAAGTGAAACTTCAAACAAGCCATATAACCTCCAAAGTTGATAGAGACCTGTACTCAGTATGTAGCAGCAGCCAAAGAAAAAGCCTAACATGCTGGATTCCGTAAGAAATAGGTCAGGGATTAATATAAAATACATATATATTGTAATCAGAGGCATAACCTTGCTTAGAATACTGCATGCAGCAAAAGTCACCTTTATTGAAAAATGGAATACTGCAGGACTAAACAGACTTGGGAGAAAACCAAGGCAATGATCAAAAGCTGGGAGTAATTCTCTTAGGAAAAGAGACTGGGGAGAGTGAAAAATTTCATCTCAGAAAGCAGACATGATGAAAGTATAGGAAATAATGAGCTGCACACAGAAGGTAAAACCCAGGAACTTCTGTTTTTATTGTCTCAAAGCACAGGAGGATATTCAATGACATAAACAGGTAAGAAAAAAAGAAATGTGTTTTTATGTAATTCACAACTCAACATGCTACTCTGTTGCCGACTGCCATTACAGAGCTCTAATGCTACAGGGATATAAAACTTTTATACCGGTATAAAGACCATCCAGGTATCTCAGTAACAAAATCTGAAGTTATATTGAACTATTGCTCCAGTGCTTGTATCAAACTGTTAAAGATTTGGATGGGACATTTGTGGGAAAATATTACCTCACATCTGCCTTCTGTAGCCTCTCCTTTTCCTCTGACACATCTGAGACTAGTCAAAGTCATGGATAAGAAAAGGTGAAGAGTGGGTGTGACCCACAGCAGCAATTCCTGTTTTCCCGTGCATGGGACAGATTTATTCACTGGAAGAAGAGTTCTTTGTTAACATTGCTTTATTCTCATCATTGAAGGTATGACCTGCTTGACTTAATGTGCACTACTTGATTTTGTTCTGAATAAGGAAGGGATAAATTTTCTCACAAACATTTCAATGGCATCTGAGCACTCCATAAAGATCAAAGGGGCATTCTGTAAAGTGGGAGAAAAAACCCAAACAAACATATTCTCCCATTTATGAATGGGAAACTGGAACAAACCAACTAAGATATCAAACATCCACAAGCCTGAGATGTCTAGGTCCCAACTTTCCAGTGTACTTCCTTTAAGAGTTTCTATGCCCAAAACATGGCCTTGGAGACTTCAGTAGTAGTTAGGCACTTGTAAGGTAAGAAATACACTTGGTCGTGCAAGATGTATCACATGTGGTACTGTGGCAGGACAGAAACACACATGCATCAACCACAGAACATTGATAAACCCATGATATATGGATAATAATAGAGCAATTAAAAAACTAGCCCCTCCAGTTTTATTTCTCTCCCTTCTTGGAATCCAGTTTTACAAACACTTGCAGCATGTCTATGCAGATGGGTCCAGACAGAGCTGAACTTGCTCTGACTAAACCAAGCTGTTCAAACCTGTTGGCACAGATGTATCTCGATGCACGTGTGTACCTCTACTTACCCAAGGAGCTGCACAGATGCCAAAGGTGCTTAGCGAGCAGCATGAATTGCTCGTGAGATGTGATTATTAGTGCTGATGCAGCTCCAACAGATTAAGTAATACTAAAAAACACAGCCTCACCAACATGAAAAACTGTGGAAAGTTACACGTTGTTTTACATACTTCTGCCTGCACGCAGCAGCCAATACCCATCATCAACCTACAGGCCACCAGGTTACTGCATTAATTGTAAAATCAAATTGTTCTGTTCCTTAGATTTGAGCTCAGGACAGATGACAAAAAACCACCTGCTCCCTCTTTGTTTCAGGTGTGTTGAGGCTTTACTGGTAAAGAAGGCTGCAGGGCTTTTTCTTCCACCCACCTTACTTTTTGTGAAACTTTATCCACCCCACCACCTCAAACACGTCCCCTAAATCTTCAAGTGGTAAAGGAAGCCAAAATTTGTAGAGAGACCAGAGCTATTGCCTCAGCCAACAACTGCAAGGCGAATTGCACATACCCACTTTCTGTCTTTCCCTGTGGTCCCAACTATGGATACACCCCTCCATACTCACATCCGTGGAGTAACTTGATTAAAAACAAACAAGCAAAAAAGCCTCTCTGTGCATTTTGTACCAGGGAACTAGGAATGAAGTTCCAGTACACTGCCTGCTCCTACTGGACTGCCACGTAAAGTCAAAATAAATCCTAGCATCCTTTGAGAAAATTCCTAGGAACAATGTTCCAGCAGATAGGAAGGCTGTTTCTAACACTCTTAAAAGCAAGCCTGAGCTCAGTGTGAAAATGAAAGGGGAGAAGGGGGAGCAGGAAGGGAGGAAAGGGAAAAAAAAAGAGGAAAAAAAGAAAGAAAAGAGAGGAAAAAGGGAGAAAAAGGAAAGAAAAAGAGAGAAAAAGGAAAGAAAAAAGAAAGAGAAAAAAAAGAGGAAAAAGGGAGAAAAAAGAAAGAAAGGGGGAAAAGGAGAAAAAAAGAAAGAGGAAAAATAGGGAAAGGAAAAAAGGAGAAAAAGGAAAGGAAAAAGAGGAAAAAGGGAGAAAAAAGAAAAAGAAAGAAAGGAGGAAAAGGGAGAATAAAGAAAGAAAGGGGAAAAAGGGAGAAAAAGAAGTGGGGAAAATGAGAAAAAAAGAAAGAAAAAAGGAGAAAAAAGAAAGAGAAAAAAAGGAGAAGAAAGAGGAAAAAGGGAGAAAAAGAAGTGGGGAAAATGAGAAAAAAAGAAAGAAAAAAGGAGAAAAAAGAAAGAGAAAAAAAGGAGAAGAAAGAGGAAAAAGGGAGAAGAAAGAAAAAAGAAGCAAAAGGGAGAAAAGAAAGAACAAAGAGGAAAAAGGGAGAAAGAAAAAAAGAGGAAAAAAGGAGAAAAAAGGAAAAAGAAAAAATGGGGGGAAAAAGAGGGAAAATAAAAAAGACGAAAAAAAAAAAAAAGAGAGAGTTGGGCTCAGAAACTTGCCGGTAGTCCCAAGGACAATAAGCAAGCGTGAGGCGGCTTGGGCGGCATGGAGAAAGGGAAATCTCTTCAAATCCTTGACGTGTCTTTTGTTAACTTCCCGTCATTACTTTTTTTTTTTGGCATGACCGTACCCGGACGCGCTCAAAACGCCCATCTGAAGAGTCAGCCCTCACAGCTGGGAAGCGGGACTTTCGACAACAAAAACAACACAGGAAAAGAAAGAGAAAAAAAAAAAATTAAAAAAAAAATACGGCGGTGTGCGCGCACCCCCCGGAGTCACCGGTCCCTCAGAGACACAGCTCGCTTCTTCTTACGTTTAAAAACGCTCGCCCCTGGGCCAACCCCGTCCTACCGAGTCTCCCCTCACGCCGGCGCGGACACAACTGAGGGGCGACGGCGGCCTGAAGGGCTCGCGCGTGCCCGCCCCCCCCCCACGGCGGCGGTTGGGTCGACGGGTAACGGCCCAGCTCGCGCCGCCCGGCACGGCCAACCGCCCGCCTCGTGAGTCAGTGGGCCGGGCCGGGCCCGCTGCCCGCCCGCCAGGCCGCGGACTACGAGCGAACGGCCACAACGGTCACCCCAAAGCCGGTCGCTGCCGGGGGGGGGCCTTGTTAACTGCCGTGACACACCAGCCGCCCTCCCTCCCCCGCACATCTCCCCCCCACATCTCTCCCCCAACTCAGGATGTAACAGCTGTTGTGTCTCCGGCAAGGTCGCTGTAATT